CCCTCTCCTCCCCCCGGCCACCCCTACTCACCCCCACTCCCCGCGCGGGCGCGCCCCACTTGTTTCTGGTTGTGAGTGTACGTATCTCGATCAGAGCGATTTATCGAGTGACTTTTTTTCTCTCAAGTCTCCCTCAGATGCCCCCACCCCCTCTTTGTCATGTATTATAACTTAGAATGTACATTGGAAACAATAAAACAGGACAGACTTTGCTTATGCTTTGTGTTTTCTTGCGGAATGTTGTCAAATTAACAAATCAACTTTCAAAGACCCATTCAGCCTTGCTTTGGTTTGTTGCTGAGGTGTCGCCAGGTCTCTAATGAAATGATATTTTAAAAATGGCACTCTTATTCTTTCTTTCTCTTTCAGAAATGAGCTTTCATTAATTCATCACAGTTTTACTTTTGCTTCAGATTTGCCACTTCCATATGATTTTACACCAATGCCTGGCAATACCTGGCAATGCCTGGCCTCTTCATAATATTATAATTTCACCTTCCCAAAAATATCCTTCATACTGCTCATCCTTGCTTATAATTTATTTTCAATTTATTCATCCTATCTCACATAGAAAATCCACTGCTTTCTTGCATATACTCTTGAGAATTACTAGCTTTCCTAAAACTAACAACTAACAAGCTGGGATACAAAATTGGTGAGTTTCTACATTCTTCTTTCTAACTTAGTGTGCTGAATGTATTTCTTTCTTTCCTGCTTCCTCATGTGAGGTCTTATTTTCCATTATGTTCATTATTACTACCTGATTTGTTACAAACATATTTAGTTACTACTAAGATATAAATTATTTTATATTATTATATACAATGCTTCTCAATTATTTTGTATATAAATATATTGTATACATTTTCTCTAGTTTGGTACTTAAATGCTTCCTTACATGTGATATAATTGAATCTTGAATTCAAATTCAGTTCTTTGTTTATGTTGTTTTTCCTCTTTTTTATTTTTTTATTTTGTGTAATATTTTACATTACCAATGCATTGCATGTTGTGCAGCATGATTGAATGTGTGAAAAAATAAGAGTTCTCTAGCGTACAAATACTTTTTTTCTGATTATTTTTTATGTAAATTACAATCATGTTTATATATATATTACTATTCTGTAATACACCAGAAAGTATGAATGTCATTGAAGTTATTGGTGAATTTTGTGAAGAACATATGTGTTGAATATTTTTATTTTGTTTTATCTGCTGTTTTTGTTATATTTGTTATATTATTTATTTTGTATTATTTGATCTTATTTGTTTTAAGAATAGAAATTTGCATGTTTTATATCCAATAGGAAGAGCATTTTGATTTTAAGATTGTAAAGAAATGTAATTTGCATAGTTTGTTACTCATGTTCAAACAGAATTAATTATTATCAGTAGTGTTACTGATTACTTTATTATGAAGTTTATTGTATTGGAGAAGTTTCATTTTGTTTAATGTTTACTTTCTTTCCTTTAGAACATGCAATGAAGAATTATAATTGAAACTGTTTTTTTGATATTGTTGTATGTTGACAATTTATTTTTGTTGTTATATCATTTCTTATCCTGTGTGTTAAAATTATTTGATGTGCAAGAAATGCTATGCATGTCATGAATTATCAAATCCATTCCAGGTATATTACCAATGTAGAAATAGATTTATTGCATATCAAAATCAGTTATTTCCGGGCTTGAAGGCCGTGGTCCAATGGAGACTTGTCCAAGTCTCCATTGGACCACGGCCTTCAAGCCCGGAAACAACTGATTTTGATATGGAAACCGGCCGTGAAAGCCTACATTGTATGTTAGATTTATTGCATGTTTGTGTACTTTTTATTTCTATCATATGCATTACATTTTTAAAACTTAATATACATTTGCAACATACATGAAATTTGTGAGATTGATAATCGTGTTGGCATTATAATTTGTCTGCATATTTTCCCTTTAATTTTAAATGTCAGTTAAGTTCAGAATAGTGTGTTATCTTTTAAAACTGAGTGAATTTTTTTCATAATAGAATTTCTACCAAAATAAGGTCACTTTTATGAAAGAGCTTTGTTTTTCAAAGTGTCTGGAAAACGGTTTCTTGTTGATCTATTATCTGATAAATATATTTCATGGTTTCAGTTAATTGACAGAGTACATGATAGCATTTGAATGATTTTTTAAATGAAAAACAAAAAGTTTACAATAATTCTTTAAATGCAAGCATGTGTTGGCAAGCACTTTAACTTAGAGAACATGTTTGGATTCTTTCACAGAACTATGTGCTTGTGCAAAAATAGAGGGGGGGTGCATGTTGTGTGTAAATTAATGTAAATTTTTTTTTAATCGTAATTTGTCTTTGCAGGAGAAATCAATTCAACCATTGGATCAGTAAGTCCAGCACTCATCGAGAATCATCATGCTCACAACAACGGAGATCTAGGGTCACCCACCAGGTCAGTAAATTGAGCAGAGAGAAAACTATAAGATATCTCAACTGAACTTGCTTTTGTTTTCAAAATTGCCTTTCTAAGTTGTTTATAGAAAATTCTGTGCTGTAGATCCAATGAAAATTCATTCAAGTTCTGTTGGAGTAAAGTTATCATGTTAATTTCTTTACATTCTGAATTTTAATGTACAGAAATTACTGAATTACAGCTTAGCATTGGGTGTCACTTAAATTTGATGTACATTAACTAAATAAGCATTTCCTTTTTTAGTGTGGATGGCGAGTCAATCCGATCCCCCGATCTGTCGCCTAGCAAGAGTTTGCGCACAGATCCGTCCAGCCAGCGAGAATGGGAGGTTGAACCTCGAAAGAAGGTACGATATAGAACATACGCCATAAGTGCTGACAAGACATTAAACTCATAGTGTTTTATAAACCATCTTTCTTCATTCTTTTTTTAGCGCTTTCCCATCGATCGTGCATACTTCATAGCTAAGGAAATACTCATGACAGAGCGGACGTACCGCAAGGATTTAGAAGTCATTACTGTGGTAAGTTGCAGTATGTAAATTCAAAAGAATACACAAAACCACTACATCCATCTCTATCCGTGCATGCTCAAATTTGTTCTTGTGATTTACATTGCATAACTTTCTCCTAGTGTCGGTTCAGCTATTTAGCAAAAAATTCCTCCTCGTACGTTCATATGAAATAATTTAAATTGTTTCGTAATGTCTTACACTGTTTCTAGAATGATGCCAATGTTGTAAAATTAAATTTCACAATAATAATTTAAATTTAATTTATTTGTCAGTTCTCACTTCAGATAGACATGAAAAATTGGGATTTTTTGTTAGTAATTCTTATATAACTTTGTGAAGATACATGCTACATTTTCTTCGTAACATGTACGTAGTGCTTTATGGATTGCACAATAGTGTTGAAATCATATTTGAGAATACGCAATATTTTATTTAATCATTGCCTGAGAAAATAAAATATATCTTTCTGAGAAGTATGTGAACACCACTGAAATGAAGTATCTGAAAGAAAAAGGAGCCAAATACCTGACCTATAATTTTATATTAGGCTAGTGGGTTATGCTGTTGTATCGCTTCATTTAGTAATCTCAGTGATAAAATATGTTTACATTTATATCTAATGCAATTTTAATGCAAGTTTTATGTGTCATTTCATGCACTTCTCTGGAGACATATTTTCATGAAAATCTTTAAATAAATTTTCCGCAGGATGATGTAATTTTCTCTTTTACTATGTATATTTCTCCATATGCATATATATATATATATATATATATGTATATGAGAAAATAAAAACAGCAGTTTCTTGGGTCCTTGTCTCTGATAATACAAGTGTGAATCTCATAATCCAAATTCCTCACTATTTCAGTGGTTCCGAGAAGAGGTGGGGAGAGAGTCTTCAGTTTCAGCTGTGGAGCAACTTCTGGCTCTTCTTGACCCTCTCCATGAAGCTCATTGTGCATTTTTGCGAGAAGTGGAAACTCGTCTTGCCACATGGGAAGGCCGCAGCAATGCTCATTTAAAGGGCGACTACCAGCGCATTGGAGACGTATTGTTACGCAATCTGCTGATGTTGCCTGTGAGTTAACTCCTTGTTTACTGTTGATTAATATGTCATTGTGTAATTATTAATTAAAATATTATGGTATTATAAAGTATATAAAAAAATTAAATGAAAACTTGTACAAAAATATATTTCTTAAATTTAATTTTTATCATAGAACACAATTTCTTGTTGGAAAAACGCTCATCCAAAAGTCAAGCAAAAAACAAGTTATTGCTTTAATAAAAATGAATTTTCATATAAAAAAAGTTTTTTCATCAAAAAATAAATTTAAAAAATGTAATAATGAAATGTGCCAAAGCACAATTTCTTTTAAGATTTCAAAACAGTGTAAATTAATGAAACTTCAAATGTTTAAAACTTCTTTTTTATAGAATCAAAAAGTTGAGAATTCTTTTGAGATAATGTTTCTGTTGTTTTTCAGCATTATTTATAAGAACATTGGTTTTCAAAACAATTATTAATTGATATATGAATATTGGAAAGTGTGACAGAAACGTCAGGAATTTTTATTTTTCACTCTGGTGATTGGTGATGGTTGAGGACACCAAAGTTCATGACTCCTTCCCCACTCCACGTGGATACAAAACTGTTGCAAAATTAACGTAAATAATGTTTTACAGGAAGAAAAGCAAAATATACGCCATACATAAAATAAGATGATTTGTGCCAAGAGTAATTCTTGAAAGTGTGCAATGTATTATGAACTGGTGTTAACTCATTTTCAAATTTCTGTTCGAACAAAAATGGACTAACACAACACGGAATTGCGACACCTCTCCCTCACCTTCCCAATTGAATGCAAGGTTTGCTCGCGCTTAGTGATCTTTATCTGAAATGAATAAAGGGTGACATACTCCTCTATATTTTTGGTAGTATTCAGAACTGATACTATGTATTTAAGGTCATATGCTATTCAGATTCATCAGTTTTGCATTTTGATGCAAAATAAGAAAAACTTTGTCTCAAAAGCTTTCTTTGAAAACATTTAAAGGTTTATAAATTGTATTGGTTGTTTTATAAAGAAGGAATTCAAATATCAATGGCATTACTAAACGGACTACTAGTTTTGTTGTTTGTGCTAAGAATGAATTCAGCCCTTCTTATCTGTTGTTTGCTGTTCTCACCAATGAATTAGAAAGATAGATTAATTTTGGCATTGAAGTTCGGAAATATATCCAAATGATTTGATCTACAATCCAGTAGCCAATTGCTCTTTGTGACCAGCAGCTGTACGAAGAATACTTGGCCTGCCATCTTGGAGTGCTGCAGCGCCTAGATGAGGCTCTTGGATCAAGTGCTCGCTTTGAACAACTCTATCGGGAATTTGAACAACAAAAGGTGTGCTACCTGCCCTTGACTGCTTTTGTTTTGAAGCCTCTGCAGCGTCTGCTTCACTATCAACTGCTGCTCGATCGTAAGTTTCTTTGCAATGGATAATTGTTTTGAGTTCTGGCTAGATTATTAAAATGTTCTGTAAACAGTAATAAAGTCACTTGGAGTGAATCTTTGCGATGTGAGATTTTACAAAAAATATTCAAGATATTGTTTGATTGTAAGATGCAAAGTTCTTCTCTATTTTATAGCTTAAACATATGTTTTTCAAAGCACTCTCTATGGCTTAAATATTACAATCATCATTTTTCTTGCAATTTTGCCCATAATGTATTCCTATATGTTATTCCTCAAACATTTCTGATCTCCTACAGTGCATGTTAATGGTTGTTGGATTAAATATGACAAAATGAAATAAACTTTTTTAAAGAAATTTAGGATTCCATTTTGTTTGCACTCAAATGAACGATCCTTTTCTCTAACACCCTTATTGTTTAAAAGTCACCTTAGGGAAAATGTTCATAACGTTTGATAAGGGTCATGAAAAATTAGAAGTGCAATTTGCTCACAAGTGTTTGAGACAATGTAAAATAATATAAGTAGTTACAAACGTTAAAAATTGTTAAAACACATCTTTTGAATCTTCTCCTAGAAATCACATGATTTCATAAGGTAGGTCAAGATAGATTTCTTTTAATTGTTGTCTTATTTTATTGATAGTGAATGATAATGTATCCAATAGAATATTATTTTATTTTATTTTCTTACTCTAGGTCTTCTTCGACATTATACAAAGGATCATCCAGATTATGAAGATTGTTATGCAGCCAAGAACAAATTAAGTGCTACTGCCCAAAATGTACCAACAATTCTTAAGGAATCTGTAAGTAAAATTCCTTGCAAAACACTAGGTAGTAAACATTAGCTATTAAATTATGTTTCACAATTCAAAAATCTGTTAATTTTTGTGTGGTAGGAGAATTTTGTCCAGTTGTGTGAACTGCAGCGAGATATGGTTGGATTCGATAACTTGGTGCAAGCTGATCGTGATTTTCTACGCCAGGGTTGTTTAATGAAGTTGTCTAGGAAAGGTTATCAGCAGCGCATGTTTTTCTTGGTGAGTTGTATGATATAACTTGAGATGAATGTTATTAATTTAATTTCAGGGTATTTATTACTCATAGATCAATTGTTTTGATCATCATATAGATTTATGTTTAGTGTACTCTCGCCACAAATTCTTCCATGACTTGTGTTTTAGTTCTCTGATGTGCTGCTCTATGCAAGTCGAACAGCCCAACCCTGTGTGCAATTCCGTGTTCATGGTCAGTTGCCGCTGAGAGGTGTGTTGGTAGAGGAAGCGCCTGACAATCGTATGGGAGCTAGCTTTGCCTTTACTATATATGGAGGCAACAGGTCAGTATATTCATTATTGACGCTTCCATTTGTGTTTTTGCTGGAATTATTACACAGAAAATCATTTCAAAAAATGGTCCTTGTTATTTTCATTCTCATATTTAATTTACTTGCTCATTTTTATCTACTTAGTTATAATTGACAAAATAATACATTACACTGAAAATTCAATAGACATTTTTTCACTCATTAAAATTACTCACCCCAGTGCCTATTATTTGCATCTGAGTCTAAACATACTCACTTATAAAAGAAAATCTTATTGTACTTGTAGGTACTGAAAATTTCAAATATTTGCAAAATATCTGAAAATTAAATGAAATGAATTGTTTATGAACATCAAAATGTAACAAGTATGCTTTTTTATGACAGGGCTGAGTGGTGCAAATTTCATTAGGATTGTTTTATCAAACATGGATCATCCATTCTGTTATCTACAATTATAACCTAGCTATTTTTTATTTATTGCTGGAATTATTTATTTTATTTATTACTGGAATTATTGTCTAAACATCTGTTTTAATCAAAACTACTTTGCATTGTTCATATGTGTTGTTATTTTAAATTATCATTTGTTTTTTATTCTTAGTTGCATTTTACATTATATAAATTTAATTGGTTTTCACTTGTTTTGGAATTAACAATGCATTATAGTTGGTATTCCAGTTCCAAAGGAGTCCACCAACTTCAGTTCTACCGGAAAAGAAAATCCAAAGATACTTGCAAACAAGAATACACGATTCTTGATCTTTGAACATTGAAATAAAAATTAAGGCTGGCAAGGAAAATGTATTTTTTGTTTGTTGAATATTAAACCCAGAGCCAATTTTGTTTTTTAATTTAGTTGAATGTTTTAGTTACAGTAGTCTTACTCATTTGTTTCAAACAATGCTTTTCTTAAGTGTCAAAAAAAATGACGACTGTTAATACTCACTGGTATGCGTGCCCTAATCAAACAGTAACTCACTGTTGTAGTTATGACTTTTGTTGGTCCTTTCTTTAGGCCTCTTTCATTTCCTCCAGTCATAATATATTTTCATGGATCCTCAGTATTTTTATATCATCCTTTTGTTATATAAAAGTGAGAGTAGAAGTAGCAGAAGGAAAGGGAGAAACGAGAGGTCAAGCGGGGAGATAAGCTAAGTGTGTGGGAGCAAGCAAGGCTGCTTCATAGATTAGTACCACAAATAAATACTCAGGCAGATCAGGTAGTGTATCATGTTCAGAGCAGTACAAGTATTGTGTTGTGCTTTACAGGGCCCTGACAGTTGCTGCTAGCTCCCAGGAAGAAAAGGACAAATGGCTAGAAGACTTGAGTGTGGCTGTGCAGGCAGCCAAGGAGAGAGGAGACAACCGTCTGCAGTACCTCAGCCTCAAGAGTTGCAGTGAGTTTTGTAGTTTTGATTTTCTCCTTATGTGTTTAATCAGTCACTATTGCTTTTGAAACAAATTGTTTTGTACTGTTATTGAGTAGTATGTTTTACTGTTAAAATAATGGTAACCAGTTAGTTCACAGATTGTATAAAGAGTTTTCAATATTTTTGTTTAACATTGTCTTATATTTAAATATGAGCAATATAAATGTATAAAACTGGTACCAATTTCCAAAAACATTTATTTAATATGTTTTAACTTTTTTTGTTAGTAATGTTTGTAATGGAGAGAAATGTTGCCTTTAACATGTCAGTATGATAAAATAAGCTCTTGAACAATTGTAAGTCCTTTATTAAACTATTTTCACTTTAGGGTACATTTTGAAATGAAACTCAAAATGCCTTTCAAAATATTTCTGCTAAATAGATTTCCCTTTTCCTAATGTATTTATTTATTTGTGATGGTAAAAGAATTATTTAAAACACTTTAATTGGCTTCCAAGTTTGCAAAAATGCAAAAACAGTTTTTTAAGGTTTTGGTTAATTAATACAAAGAGAATTTATGCATTTCTAAACAGGTTCATCAGATGAGGTGATGGACAAGTGTGGCGAGGAAGGCAATGCAAACCGAGAGAAAGCACCTCCTGTGCAACGTAGCAACACCACTGTTCATGTTTGCTGGCATCGTAACACCAGTATAAGCATGCGTGATCAGTTGAGAGCTGTTGAAGTAAGTTTTAACTTCTTTGGAATTACCAATAATTTCTGATATGAATAATTTTCTTAGGATGTAGTTTTAATGACTACTCATACTACTGTCAGTAATGACCAAATATTGCAGACAAACATGAATGAAAATTTGTTTCAAAAATCTCTTTAAAAATTGTGTTGATCTTTTTTCATTTAAACGTTACAGCTCGAATGAAAAAAAAAAAATTATGAAATTATGTAAGAACTTGAAAAATTAAATCATTCTTGACTTCTAAAGAGCCTCTTATTATTGGCTGTCTTAGTGATATTTTTCTTTAGCAAGATGACAGACAGATGACAGTTTTTCAAAAAAAAAAATATTTATTTAACCATAGTTTGTTGTTGTTTTTTATTAAATATGTGAAGTGATTGGTTTTTTTTGCATGATCTAGATATTTTATAGTTAAGGCAAAAAAAAATCAAGATTGTGCAAAAACAGTTTGCCCATGCTATTTCAACAAACTGTTTTTTAGGTCATATAAAAATGTTTCAATTACGATTAATTAATTGTTTTATCTGTATTCTTCGTGTTAAAACAATGCCCCACCTTCGTTCACCATCTTAGTGAGAAAAATTATTTTGACCTCCTTTTTTTATATATAAGAGGACCAACTTCATGCATGCATAGCTGTGCCTAAAATTCCTTGCTTTTGTTCTGTCTTTGAAGAAAATAATTTTGAAGTTTGAGAAAAAAAAGTCATCAAATAATTATTTTGAAAAGAAAACATTCAAATTACATTCCAGTTTCAGTTAATAAAATACAAATGTTATGAAGTTAATTGAGAGTACATGTGAATAAAATTTGTGTCTGTGTTATTTGTTGTACTTATAATATGACAGGAAAGGTGAGAAAACTTTGCAGTGAGTGGAAAACTACTAATTTTATTAGAAACTTCAAATCTTTCTTCATTATTTTAAAAAATAATGATAGAAAATACTACTGGACATATCAAAAATATGTTTAACATCCCTTTATTGACTTTTCTTCATTTGAACAAAATATTTCCAAAGTGCTTGACTGAGATTTGTTCAAATTACAAAAAATGTTAGGGTATAATATTGAATTAAAAATGGAATGACCTCCCTATTCTGTGTGAGGCATACAATAACACAAACATTAATATTTTATCTTTTAGAGCTAGTTGAAAAACTTCCTGTAAACTGTTATTTACACTACATATCATTCTTGAATTGTGAACCGTGCTCAAGAAGTGAAAAATTAAAAAACATATTTTAAAAATTGAAACTAAACCATTTCATTCATCTTCGGTTGCAGCAATATATTTCGTAATAAAATGATGGCTTTTTTTTGCTTTCATTATTAAATCAGCTTTAAAGGGTTTCTATTTAATGCTTTGATAAAAATAGAAATCTTCAAAGATTTCTTGGATTAAGTAATCAAATTTGCTATTTGCACATGTTTCAAGATATTTTCATTCAGCCGATGTATCTCTAACTCTACTTATACTCTCAGTATTTAGAATATCTGCATGACAAAATTTTTCTTACTCACAAATAAGGTTGTGTAAATGTAAATTATAACCCTGAATTGTCTCACAATATTCAATATGAAACATTCACATACTTTTTTTTTTTTTGCCCAGAATCAGTTGAGTGGTTACCTGCTTCGCAAATTCAAGAACAGCAATGGTTGGCAGAAGCTGTGGGTGGTGTTCACATCCTTTTGTCTATTCTTTTACAAAACTTTCCAAGATGACTTCCCACTGGCCTCGCTTCCGTTGTTGGGTTACACAGTCACTACTCCAGCACCTACAGATGGCATTGCCAAGGACTACGTGTTCAAGTTACAATTTAAAAACCATGTATACTTCTTCCGAGCTGAGAGCGAGTACACATTTGGCAGGTAATTTATATTAAATTTTCTACTTTTACCCAGCTTGTCTATTTCTAGTTTATCTGTGTTTCTTGACATATATCCCTTTTTTTTTATATGTAGAACACTGCTGTAGAATTTGCGTGAAATTAAAAATACTTGTAAGTGGTGAAAGAATTTGAATTATTTAGAACAAGTTCCTGAATGTGCTTTACTTGAATACTCTCAAGTTCTCTCAAGGATCTTCTCTCTCTCTCTACAGTTCTCTCAAGGATCATATTTTAAATTTATATTTTAAAAACTATTTTGTAATTTAGGGATTTCATTCTTCCATAGCTCTAAACAATATTTAAGCATAGATTTTGAAAAGTATTATGCTTACAAGATTTTTCAACAAATGTGTTTGTATCTTGTATAGGTGGATGGAGGTAATTAGCAGTGCGACACAGCATTCTGGGCGAATGCGTCTGTTTTCTCGAAAAGACAGTGCGCTTGGAGAGCCTCAGAATTGACATTGAAAAATAACATTTTGTGTGTTGATGCACTGAAACAAGAAGTCACAAGTTTGCATTTGATACTCTTGAAGGAATTCGCAGGGTAAACAGGAACAGAGGGATAAACAGCCATTGAAAGTCATTGTTTAAATGACTTATTACACTTTTTATTCATTCCAATTTTTCAAGGCTGCCAACATTTTCTTATTGTACAATGCTCTTTATTTTTCTGTTTAAGTTTTCACACTGTAAACACTAGTTTTATACTTTCATGCTGTAAGGTAATAGAAGGTAAACTTCAAAATAAATGGTCTGAAAATGTGTGTCTGATAGTTCTCATACGACTACAATGAATAGTGAGTCATGAAATAGGACCTGAAAGAAGTATGTTCTTTAATTGTGTAGAATACATGAGATTCTGAATGTCATGTGTTAACAGAATTCTAGGATTTTTATTACTTATCTGCGACATTCACAAGTTAATTGGTAATTATTTTTTATTTTGTTGACTCTGAATGTTTAATATCAATTGATTTTATATAAAACATGAATTTGTAAAACACTTTCAGATAAAACTATATATCAATAATAGCTTATGCTTTACCTTCAGTAGGACAATTATTGACATTTATAACATTTTAAAATTGTATATATACTGTAAGATATTGTTAAGAATCAGTAGGGTGGTGCTAAAACACCAATCTTGCCATTTATAATGGCAGCTGCTATTTGTAAGAACTTACATCACATAAAAATCACCATCACAAAAAATTGTGTATAAAGGCCATTGTGAGATTATCAATTCTTTCATTTGGAACTTATCACTTACAGTACTTCAGGTAAGCTAGTGGGATGGGAAGAAAGTTTTCAAATTCACAAATAAACATATTTTAATGTATTTGTTGTTGGTATACCAGATTAAAAATTAAATTGGATTACTTTGTTTCAGAATGTATTTATTCTTCAATATTTACATTGTCTAAAAGAATTCATTGCTTTTTGCAGTATACATTATTACAAGAAGGAATGGTTAAAATGATCAGTGATGCAACACTTTTCAACATAAGGCTTTGTATATCTGAATGCGACCAACCCATGCCAAATAACCAGTTTTATGTAGTCCAGTTTCATTGCCTTATCATTTTTGTTTTATTACACATCTTAGGCTACTTCAAATAATGAATTGCAAATATAGATTACCAAGTAGTCCATTTTATCATCTGATGACTGTTTAATAGTAGCATAAGGCTTCAAAATATTTGTTAGTAATTAAATGCTCATTAGTGTAAACTTACTAATTTTGTTCATGTTACTCCTCAGAAAACATGTTTTTAAATTTACAAATAAACATAATATAGTTAATACTTTTGGTGTTGTTATTGTTGGGATAAAGCATGGTTCTTCCAATCTTTATCTGCTGATAGTCAGAAGAGGATGGTAACTTGGTTTGGTCTACAGGGGACAAAGTATTGTCAGAAAGAAAGACCAAAATCTCCATTTTTCACTTTCTCCATTTCCTTGAGAAATCCTTGTGTAATGACTTAAATGTAATTTCTCCTTAAAAAATTAGCACAAGAGCTCAAACTTTAGATTAACAATGTTGCAAGTTCTCATTTGACCAATCATTTTTTTTCAAAAACTATGTGGCCTGACAAATTTATTTCCAAAATCCAAATTCTAAATCAATCAGCTGCTGAAAAGTAATTTTTAATGCAAGAAATAAACTAGGCTAATAAGAAATCAAATCCATTTGTATTTATAAGTTCATGAAATAATGAGCCAAGATAATTTTATGAAAAATTAATTTTGAAACACCGTTTGATGTGCGAGATATTGATTTATTGATGACATACTTGTGTGCTGGAATTGCTTTTAATAGCAATTATGCATGTAGTATAGAACATATTAGTAGAACAGGTAAAAGTTTGTCCATTTATCATGAATGCTATTAATTAAAATTAATTTATATTTAGGAACAAAGAATTTAAAGCTGCAAATGCCATTTTAATGAGGAAATATGAAGTATTCATGCATTTGTTGTTATTTAACAAAAAGTATGAGCTGTATAAATTGTTGTTATAAAAGTTAAGGATGTTCTGTTTATTTCTAAGTCTTCAGAATGTTTGTTGAAAACTGAAAATAATAAAAAAATATTTCAGAGTAGAAGTTGCAAGAAATTTTAAATGTCAAATTCAATAAACTGAAGATAGACACTCTTGAGCCTCATTATAAATTCTTTTACAATATTTTCAGCCCCTTGAAAGGAGACGATATGCATGTTTTCTAACAGTGTTTCAGACTTGTTGAGAAGAATTTAACTTATTTCCCTCTCCATTAGAAGCAGTTAATAAATGCAGTGAAAGGCTCTAAGCTCCCGTGTGTGATAATGTGCATGTAAGTAGAGACAAGGAAGAAAGACTATGTGTGGTCCAATTGTTAGGGTACTGCTCTGAATGGTACTAACTGGTATTGATCAGACATTTGAAATTAGCAAGTAATGTAGGCAGAGATGCAACAGTTTATTACTTTGAGAAATGAAGAAAAAGGAAGCTTAAAGATTTTTTCAAATACATGAACTATCCTGCATACATTCTTTGTAATAAATATAACATAATAAATGTTTGTTGACAATTTATTTGATAAATTGAAATAGCTCTTCCAACAGAGATTATAAGGACCAGTACTGAAAAATATAATACTGGAACATACAAGTAAAGCTGAAATTTTTATGTTGCTTTTTTTTAAAGGAGGGTGTCATGCAATTGCTAGTTTGTACCCAAATGTTAATTGTATTTCCCAATTGGAGAACTATCTTTTAATTACGTCGTCTTTAAGAGATTTCTTTTAATCTTCTTACTACAAAATTAATTCAGTGTTAATGTTTTACTTATCAGAGTATCTTTTGTTCTCTTTGTACAGTTTTGTGGAGTAAAAAATAAGTGTATGTATCTTAATTGAACCTTACTGCTTTTCTAAAATTATTAGTTTCATTTCTATACAGGTGAAAAAAACTCAGTGATATTACAGCATTCTGAGATTCTGAAAATTACTCTGAATGTTACAAATTGTCAAGTTCTCATAAATTACAATGAGGAAAACTACAAAAATTTGAGTGAAATTTATAAGCTGTTTTCAAGAAAATTCAGTTCATAATAGAACTGAATCTGAACCTTACTTTCAAATATTAAATTATACAGTGTCTGTCAGTTGTGAGAACTTTGCACCTTAGTGAAAGGCACTGGCGTACACCCTAAAATGTAATAATTCATTTCCATGTCCCTTTCACAATTTCATTAAGGGTTTTTTTTGGGGGGGGGGGGGATAAAAAGTTTCAATAATTTTAGAATATATATGAATAATAAAGATAACATGAATACTCAACTGTTCTTCAAATATCCTTTTTTTATTTATTTTTGTTAACATGCAGTAACCTTGAAAGTAAATAATGTGGGGCAAAGATGATTTACATGTTTTATGTATTTAAAAAAAAAATCACCCAAATTGTTTTAAATGACATGGAAGTTTAAATTCGAGCTGTGGAAACCACAGGTGATGAAAACTCAAGGACTCTGAGCAATCCTGAAGTTTCTAAATGTAGTAAATTCAAGATATTCTCCACTTCGGAATTAAGCCATACGTAATCATGAGACTCTCGATTTATCACTATCAAATGCTCGAATATACACAATGAATGTTTGGTATACGTGTTTTCTTGCCTTTTGTAACCATTAACAATTATCAAGTTTTTTAAAATTTATTGTCAAATTCATCTTTGTCATAACCATATTGTTAAATGCAGAAAATGCTTTCTACATCTCGAGATTTAATTGGAGTGTACTAACAAGATACAATTTGCGCCTATGCGACATTAAATTATGCACTTCATGATTTTTCTTCACAAATAATGTTTTTTTCTATTTTGGAGAAATTCAAATCAAGAATCAAATTGAATTTAACTAATCATTTTGACTTGAAGAATAAAATATACATGTATGAAAAATCTGCTTTTTTGTCACTAAATCATCATAAACAAAATCTTTGAATTTGCCCCTCTTCACTACGTACACAGCATATTCTTTTTACATAGTGACAGGAATACTTCTAAACAATTTAGTTTCTCACTTTCACTATATTGATCAGTATCACCTACATGAAAAGTGAATTAAGCATGTCTATAACAAATTATTTCATTAAAGAATTTAGTCTTCTTTATAAAGATTATATGCAGAAAGTTGTGGTATCACATATACACCTTTTTGGAATGTTTTTATCAGCTACACTGTAACCTACTCTACAATGAAACTCAACTCGTGGGACATTACAATGTCATTTATTTTGGCAGCCAGTGCTGCTTTTCTGTCCTTGAATCCATGTCTTACGTATAATTTGGAAACCCACCTTCTTAAAATATTACAAAGCAGATATTAATTTACAAGTTATAAAAAGTGAGCTTTGGCTTCTATTAGAAGCACAATATCTTACCTTTTATATTTTTGATGATGGTGAAGGGAGAAGCTTATCATATAAAACCCCATTGTTTCTAATTACAATCAAGAATTTGATCTTCCTCATTGATGACAGATGCTGTGAGTAATTATGGATAAGAGACTTTAGTTTCAAGATATTTAGATATCATTTTATCCCACTTTCATATCTTGATATCCTTGGATTACAAGTTTTCAATGGCTTCACATTTCTAAATGGAAGTGCTACTCTGATTTCCAAGATAATTTGAAGCTATATTAAAAGTCATGTATCAATGATATACTAATACATCACAATGTTGTAACTACTCAAGTATTGTGGAAACATGAAAAAAATTGTACTTACCTCAAGTTAGCATATTGAAGACTCGCAACTTATTTATTGAATACTGATAAGATGTTTAATGCACATAAATAAGGAAAAAGCTATCATTAAATAAATCCAAAAAATCATTTATTTTAAAGTGCAAAGTATAGTTTATACATTGCTTGTCTTGTCAATTATATCATCTACAACAAACTGTCTTGATTTATGACTGTTTCTTCACACTATTTCAATGGAATATGTTATTACACCACTTCTCTGGGAAATATAAAATATTTCCTGGCTTTCTTTAACCATATTTTCTAAATAAATTTTTGTTCAGAATATTTTAAAGAAATTATGAAAAGAAAACATAAATGGGCAAGTTTGGAACTATCACACATCGGATAGGAAATAAATCTTTAAAAATACAATACACAAATTCATGCAGTTTTCAGCATAAAAAAAATAACCCTTTTACCTCAACACACTGTAGCCCATACATATCATGGACTGCAATACAAATGATACACACCACATAAAAAAACAAATTAAAGTGCAACAATTTAATAGGGCCTGTCCCTTCTATCACGATATCTATGTCCATACATAGGTCCAGATCCACCACGATGGTTCTGCCAATCTCTGTCACGATCGCGATCGCGATCGCGATCACGATTACGATCACGATCTCTATCTCTGTCATGATATGATCGTCTTCCTCTATTGCTGTTTCGGTTCCAGTCAGCACGAGGTGGTCTGCTGTACCATGGATCAACAATGGGAGGAATACTTTCAGGGAGCTCTTTGATTTTCTGGAATTCTTCATCTTGATCTGTAAAACGGTTAGCAAATTCTTCTTCACATTGACGCAAGAATTCCTGCTGTTCCTCCGTCAATTCAACAACTGTCTCCCCTGCTTCTGATCCCATTTTGAATTAATGTGTCACGTGTGAGAACTTTGCACCAAAGTGAAAGGCACTAGCATACAGTCTGAAACGTAATATATTATACTTGTGCAATTGATTTATAGTCAACTCTGATATGCTTTGGGCACAACCATTAAAGAATCTGAAACTGAATACAAAATAAGTGTATGTAAGAATGGTACATAAATTATCCAAAACCTCAAAGGACAAAAAAATTAAAGTGAAATAATTACATTGTTCTCCTAGAATATTATCCAAACTTAAAGCATACAGTGTCTTCAAAGAGACCATAGATTGTGGGATGAAAATCCTGTGAACACACAATTAGATTTTTTAAATTGTATTAATATTGATCAGTATGTTAGAAATATTTAAGCTAAGTTTGAAATATTTACCAGCCCAAATGATGACCACACCGAGGGCAAAGGCAATGTCTCCAAATGTAGCCAGGAAACCAAGAATGTTCGTTATGCCACTATAAATAAACAATTTCTATTAATAAATCACTTAAATCTAAACAAGATTATTAAAATATGCATCAACGACACACTTCACATGAACTTCAACAATTGTCACGTCAAAAATGTTTTAATGCAAATGTTAAGGGTATTTATGTCCAAGGGGTCTAGCTGGAACAATGTTTTCCAGGTCTCATGTTAATTGGGACCGCCAAAAATGTTAAAAAAAGGTTTACTTCTAATTCAAATGAACTGTTATAAGTTATTTCTTGTAATAACTTATAACAAAACATGAATTGTTTAAAATAAGGGGTCCTCATGGCACTGGCGCAAGTCTCTGGTTTTCTCAACGCACCCCTGTGTATAACAATAATTACAACCTTGGGCAAGAAAATAAAATGGCATATATTCAATAAGTGTTGGACCATCTTTAACTTGTTTTGCCTTCTTTTTAGACTTTCATGAGCAAACGAACTCACCTCATGATCATGACCCATATGCAAAAGGCGAGATTTGAATTTATAATCCTTTACATTGAAGTAATGTCTCGGTACACGCTCTACCGCAATGATATTGCCCCACATTGGATCTAAAACGTGTGGCAATATCAACTTGATTTGTAAGGTACGCCCCTTGACATCAAAGGAAGGGGCTCACAATTGCACTGACCGTATGTCCTGGACCACAAGATGCTTTGGTGAATGTGACAACACGGAAACGCACGCCCAGTGGATTTTCCAACACCTGCACTTGTACGTCGCGGGCGCCAAACAATGACTGGTTGCCGCGCACCAAAGCTGAAGGACTAAACTGATTGACAATATGCACTCCGTCGCTCACATCAGCACCGCATTGCCGGCACAAAACGCACTCTGCAAAACAAACAACAAAGGCTCCAACATCAATAAAAACAAACCCAAAACAATATAAAATCAAAACATAACCTTCATTCATCCACTATCTTAAAACGGGCACTAAATTACTTTTCGCATAGTCACGTAAAAAGGACTTCAATTCAGTAAAAAGGACTCGCATCAACCACTTAACGAATAAGACTTACATAGTATAATAATATGTAATAGGTTGTATGTAAACACAAAATTCCTGTACGCCGCTGCAGAAGAATGGCGACACTAGCGTTGCCAACATGCGAATATTTAAAGCAAAGAGGGCACTTTGGGCATGGAGCTTGAGGACCGTGACTGCGGGGGCAAGGACATCACGGAAGCACTCACCCCCTGAGAGCGGCGATGACACCGTGGTGCTGATGACGACAGCGATCACAAGCGATAACAGCAGTGACGGCGGCGGCCAGAAGGCACTATGTGCCCGTCGCATTTTTGCGAACGTCACGATGTATGCCACGCAAGAGGATTACGTATCTTTGGTGCACAGTCCGCTACCTGTCTGATCGCGCTTTCTGGGCTGCGCTCAAGGGAGACGCGGTGTCCGTGGCCTTGCTTCGCGCAAACACATGCCGTGCGCCTGAGCGCCCACAGTTGGCGACGCAGGCGCCGTCGTCAGTACGGTCGTGTCGCGTGACGCAGGGGTGACATGTATTCTGATGTAAAATTCAGTTTTCAAATTCATATTCCAAGCATTTGACCTTACTGGAGTATGTTCTGTAATTGTAATTGTAATTCATTAAATCTATTTCTTTTTCGTAAAATCTGCACAGTATGTTGACGCTAACTTGAAGATATAGTTCAGAATAAGACGTCAACAATTTAGCACTTCCTTACACCAAAAAGGATTATTGAAGACTATGAACTCGCATGTTCTTTTGAGTTGGCAACGCTAAAAATGGCTGAACCGATATCCGTTCAATACTACTTTACAAAGGAGAGTGTGGCGCGCAGCTTGACAGCGCGACTAGGACGGTCGCCAAACTTCCTTGAGACGCGGCCTCGGACGCATCTATGATCCGCAGATTAACCCGTATTTCGCCCAGTTTGCTTTCTATCGCCAGCGGTTCCGCCCAGTAAGCTTTCCTTTATGATAGAAGCGTTCGCCGCCAGATGGTGCGACGCGCGCAGCTACTCGCAAGAGCCGACTGCCGAGTAGGGAGAATTGCGGTGGCGCGGCCGGCAAGTTGCGAAACGCGCGTTCTCTGCGCGTTCGAGGACAACGTTGATGGAGGGGCGTCCAAAGGGTCCCGGAAAGACTGCTCCGCGCCCGGCATGTCAACAGAAGATTCGCCCGAGCTTTAAAATATCCACTGGACGTCAATTGTGAATTGCACGTTACTCTCATCTGGCAAATTCGAATCGCACGCGCATCAGGCGTCACTAAAAAGAGCTCAAACCTCCCTTCTTGCCTCCCTTGTCTTCAGTTAAAACTTCGCAACTGTTGCAAGCCGGTCGTTCAAGCTGCGCACAAACAAAGGAGAGACGGAAATGTTCGCTTCGCCGCCATGATGGAAAGAAGGAATAGACATTTGGACAACTGTCATCAGTGAAAGGGCGTGGCCCACAGCCGCTACGAAATACCGAATCCGGGATTCATGACAGCGATACTCGCCGGCCGGCCGGCACAAGTCCCGGCGTCGCGCCGCAGAGCTCGCCCGACGCGTAAAGGTCGCCGTCGGGGCGCACTGTCAAAGCACTTCGACGAAAGATAATCTCCGCAGCGGCCTGCGCCGGCCGCTTGTGCGTCGTCTCCATTTGCGCCAATGCACAGTTTTTACGGCCCAATCGATGTAGGATAAGGTTAAAGGCTTCAATATAAACATCAAGAAGGGCCTTTGAGACTATTTCGCACAGCGCAAAAACTAACTGCGCGCGTACTCGAGCTCCGGCATCACATGCATCAGCTCCCCGGCTGCGTTAGCGAGAGGCTTCTCTCTGCGGCTTCATTACAGCGACGCTCTTTGAACCGCGCGCGCGGTCGTGTTGGTCGTTTTCCCGGCGTGAGCCGCCGACCAATGGGGAAATGTAGGTCAGGCTTGGAAATACGAGCCAATGGGCGCGCAGCTCGGCGCGGTCACGTGGGTTTGTTGTTATCTGTCAGCTGTTGCCCGCGCCGACGGCAGCTGGGCCGCAGTCAGCGGCCCGAGGCTCCGGACAGCTGATCGTAGCGAGCATGCCCGCGCCGCGCCCGGCCTCCCGCCGCCTCCGTCGCTCTGAGAGGACGCTATCGCCGTCGCAATCACCGCCCATCAGGCCTACGCCTCCGCGCGCCCCGCCCCGCGTTCCTCCGCTCTCCGCGCCCTGCGCCGCCCCGCGCTCGCGAGTGTCCGCGTAGTCGCCGCCAGCAGAGTGAGTGAGTGCTTCCGCCGAGTGCCCGTCGTCGCGTCACTTCGCCGCCGAAGTTCGTCGTTCGTGCCCAGTGCGTTCGGCGCTCGTGTGCGCCGCGCGGTGTCGACGGAGCGCGGCCGAGTGTCAGGGTTCGCGCGGGCGAGGGCGCGAGCGCGGACGAGGGCCGGCCGGCACGCAGCCGGCGCCGGCGCCATGTCCACCGGCAAGCGGCTCGCCAAACGCTCCATCATCGGGACGCGCGTGTGCGCTCCCGCCGAGGACGGAAAGTTCTACTCGGGCGTCATCCAGAGCGTCAAGTCGCCCGCGGAGGGCGGCGACGCCGACACGCGCTACTCGGTGCGCTTCGACGCGCCCATCCCCGCGCGCGAGTTTACGGACCAGCAGCTCATCGGGCCGGGCTTCCAGACAGTGGTGTCGGGCATCCGCCGCCTCGTCGCCGGCCAGCGCGTCTACCTCACCTACAACGGCCGCGAGGTGTCGGGCGAAGTGTCAGCCCACGACCCCGAGGCCGACGACGTGCGCGTGTGCATCCAGCCGCCGGGCCAAGAGGTGAGTGCAGTGTGCGGTGGCGCAAGTACTCCGCTCGTGACAAGTGACAAGTGTGCGGGACGGGAATTTGTGTGTCTGTTCGTGTCGTGCGTGTGTGGGCTCGCACATCTCGCTCGGCGAGCTGACGTCAGGGTCGCGGCGCAGCCCGGAGCCGCGGCGGCGTTGCCGGCGCCCGGGCTGCGGCGGCGGCAGCGGCAGCGCGACGTAGTAAACAAGTGCGCTACGTCACGCACCCCCGCGCCGATTTGGCTCCGCGGCTGGTGGGCGGCGGCGGCGCACGACGGCCGGGCCGGGGCATGGCAGCAGCAGCCCCGCACCACGCGCGCGCCAAACGCCGCTGAAAGCCGACTTCGCGCGCAGCGCAGGCGCGCCGGCGCCGCTCAGCCACGCGCGTGGGATCGATCGCGGCGCGCGCGGGTTGGGTGCCGGCGGGCGCCCGGCTGCGCGTGACGTCAGCGTGGGGTCGCGGGGCGGCTTCGCCAGGGCACGTCAGCGACGGCCGGTGGCGGTGCGGTTCCGTCCGGTCGGCGGCGGCGTACATCCGCTCGCGCTTGCCGCCATCGCCCGCCCCCGCCCCGCGCCCGCCCTCTCGGACCCGCGCCGCGCTGCGTCGCCTAACGGATCCCAAAGGCTCGGAACGCCGCGGCGCCGGCAAATGGCGACGAAAACGCCAGCCCGGAGCGCCGCGCGGGTGCGGCGGTTGTCGCCCGGCGCCGCAGGGCGAGGCGGTTGGCAAGTTGCCGGTAGTGCCAACATAAAGCGTAACGCCGCTGTGGCGTGTTTTTCCGGTGACGTCTGCGGCGCGCGCGTCCTGTGCGGTGGACCGGCCGTCCGGTCCGTCCGCGAGTAGGCAGGCGTCTGCTCGCTGGGCGCGTTCAAACGAGCCGCCCTTTCGACCCCCCCCCCTCCCACTGGGCCCTGCGGAGCTCGCGTGCGCCGGCGCCCTGACCCCGAAGCCAGGAAGACGCCGCCGCGACCGGCCGCACACCCCGGGCTCAGCTGGTTGGGTGGATATCGAACTGAATGCGGCGCTCGGGGGGCGGGCGTGCCATGTGCTAGACCGCCAAACAAAGTGACGTATCGAGGGGGACGTAATGTTATATACCGTGTACGCCAAAATTGTACAACGATAAGTCGATAGAATCTGACACATTCCAATGGAACGTACCATTCTTCAGTACGGTGTCTGTCTTTAAAAGAGTGTAAAAAGTGCGCACCTCTATCAAGGAAAGGAGAAACCAGTGTGATTAGCTTTAGAGGAACAATGTTTTTTCCCGAACTCGATGTTCCTACAAGGAAAATCTGCAAGCGTATCTAATGAAGCAGACTCAGGGAGACGGAAACCGAAGTGTAGAGTCTCCAATGCGTAAAGCACAGTGCTCCAACCGCTGGGGTGGACATGCCCTTGTCGCGTTTGTACGCTGTTATTACCCTCTGTATTTGAGTGCTCTAATTTAGTTGTTTAAGTGGGAAGAAACAAGTCGACGCGCTATAAGTTTTCTTATAATACCCCTTTTGAGTAATTCAACAAATACACAATTATGGGTTTTCAATGTCACAAGTACTTAGTGTAGAGAGGTTACTCTAAGAATGGTCCATTTTGGTTCAGAAACAAATGAACGTCGGACGATGGCCCTTCAAGAGTCGCAGCCATTTACTAGTGAGCCACCTGCCAACGAATACATTGACGAATTAATCGCATGGACATTAATTGCCAGTTTAGTTGCCAGGCGTTGCAGAGCAGTAGCTGTCAAAGCTGTCCCTTCTTAAATGAATCCGTGAAGCATTGCCACTCCAACGTATCCCGGAGCCTTGGGTGTTGTTCTCCGTCAGTGCGATTTCCCCAGCCCAGCCACTGTTGACCGCCAGGCACCCTCTTTGTCACGCGAACCGCTCGCGTCGCGAGGGTGAAGAAGCGAGTATGCGGAGTGCGTCCAGGAGACAATGGGCGGTGCAGCACAATGGCCGAATAACTAATAGGTGTTGCGCGTGGTGTCGGTTCCCCGGCGCGCACTTGAACAATGAGAACCCAACCGCAGGTCGTTCGTCGACAAATGAAGCGCGTGCCTGGAAAAAGCTGCGGAGGAAAAGGTACTAAAACCGCCGTTAAGTGTGCGTTTATTGCGGGAGTAGTTAGCACCGCACTACAAGTGATGCCATTGTCACTCGGACAGCGAGCGACGTTGGTGAATGCCCGGAGGGAGTGTGAAAGCGGTGGGCGAAAGGTGAAGATCCTCTTGGGGAGGGGTCCTCTGGTGGAGGAGCATAAATTAACTGACGTCCATACTAACGGGAAGAGTCGTTTATTAAGGCTAAACACACTCTGGGGAAGTAGAAAAGGTGACTTTTCGAACAGTGATTATCGTTCAGCGAGCTTAAATCTTAGTGTAACAAGGGCATGTCAAGCTATGAAGAAACACCCAGAAACTTTGTCTTATTAAAACAAATGTTTGAAAATACGCTGTATACTTAAAAAGCACACAAACTTTGATCCATTCGACGAAGAAGAATTTAAAACTCAAGAAACTGTCAGTATTGTTTGTTCCTGGGTGAGTGCAATGTAGCTTCATAGTCGCATGTTATTTTGTCCGTACTGCGTGTAAAAGTAATCCATGAGTAAATCAGTCTACAAATTGTATGATCAGACTCGGTATGATTCTTCTGACTTTGTAGCTCGTCTTGATATCTACAACTCTACTTCTACAAGTTTGGAAAACTTCATAAGGAGCGAACGACTCCATCTAGCTCTCGGTGTCGTTATTGATCGTCATTTCATATCTGCGTAATCACTACGCCTTCCCAACGACAATACCTAGTGGGAGAAGTCATTGCGATGGATCCATGGACGAAGTTCTGGGGAGTCTCTGAAATATCTCGCAAGAAAAGGTCAAGGGTTGCGTTCCTGTTGCAGTAATATTATAATTTTATTACACGCCAAAAGACCAACGATAATTTGTATCAAACACTAGATAATTTTAAGAGACTTCTGAGAGGATTTCCAGGGGATTTGCTCGCATATCTCTACAATTACGTCAGCATACTTTTTTACTAAATTTCGAACAGAGAAAGGTCTCCTCAAATTGAAATGTGAAAATAGATTGTTCTGATAGTTCATATATCTCCGACAGTTTTGTGGTATTGTCAAATACCACCCATTCTGCGATTACTTGATATTCTAATTTACAGGCAAATTATTTTAGTGAAATTATGTACGCAGCAAACATGCTCTGTGAACAGACATATTCCAAAGACACGACGCGCAAGGGTTTCTGTGTTCCCAGCAACACTGTCATTTGAATGTTAAATAAAGCATCGAGCATCATTTCCTGACACGAAGTAACATATTTGTTCTTCATGCTTTAGTTACATTCATTAACAGTTCAAAACCTGTGGTGAATGTGACATATCTGACCGGTACAGAGTTGTTTAGCGTAGTTGTTGGAAACGTTATTTGAATCGTAATGTTACACACAAGCCAGTGCATCGTTATGTACATAGAATCGAGGATGTGCAATACATAGTTGTGCGTAAAACTTTGCGTGACAACAGTGCGAGTTCCTCTGCACGAGCTATCTCTATCAGGAGACATCCCTCCACCCACTCTCTTACGTCCCTCATTCAATAGATATCGCGCAATTAAAGGAGGCGATCAATCACTCAGCCGTGCACAAATAGGCCTCTGTGCATGATAACTCTCACACAGGTTACGTAGTCCTTACTTAGTGTTCACATGTGATGGTTCTTTCATGGCTGAGCTTAGTAGAAAAGTCGGTATTTGTGACGTAGAAGAAAGTCGTAGAGAGGAGTTGCAGGAATGAAGTCGTTCATATACTCTTTATCTTCTGAGTTTGGAAGAACCTTTTCCGAGTAAATTACTTTCTTGAGAGTGCATGAAAAAAAAACAGATTTGTAATACGAACATCTTCACAAAAATGACATGGGCGTTGAGAAGATGCAATTTATTACCTAACGATAACACGTAGTGGTCGGTATCTTCAATTGTTAAGTACATTCTTATTCCAGACTGGATACCGTTGTTTCCTTCTGATACGGGAAATAATGTGAAGGGAAAACTGACGATTTCACAGAATTGGTCTGAGTTTAATTACATAATTAAAGGAAGGACCATAATTTTTACAAGCTAGCCACCAATATCCTTTATTGAATAAGTCTTCATACGTGTAAAGCCTTAACAATGTCAGAATTCCAAGGACAAAACTTTCTCTACTTTGTCGATGTAGCTCCGGCCAGGGCGAAGTACTTGCTTAACTGGTCAAGGACCGCGCGCGATCATCTGCTCTTCATTCTTGTCCCCTCCTCTGCCTTTATACACATGCGAGCACACTAGGTCTGGGAGCTTAGAGCCCGGCGCGTCTGGAACGGCGCCGCGCCGGAGGAGGGAGCCATGCCACAAGGCGATATGTCTGCGCCGCATCTCACATTCTAGTGGAGAAGGATCACTGCTAACTCACGGGATGTAAATTGCGCTTGCACCTACACTTATTGGACTAACTTGGACTAAATTGGACACTAGAGTTGATGGAAACAAAATAATCAGTCGTATGTGGATACAATATTGCAATTACTCTTATTTTTTAAAATTTAAATTACTGGTAATGGGCATTTTTCATACAACACATGTGTCTCATCCTCAACGGGGTAATTCCCATCCGAGATAAGCTTTAAGCTCCCGACTGATCTCCTGGTATGTGTGGTAGCGTAGTGCATGCAAAGTGTTGGTGAAAATAGGCCAAAGAAGGGGAAGGAAAGATCGCGCGCTGTACGCGGCCAGTCGCTAGGAAACTTCAGGCATTCGCCTGGTGTCGATCGGAGAAACAATGGAAAACTACCGATCAGACCAGCCGACCGCTAAGATTCTCCCCTGAACTGGACCTAGCTACGTAGCCAGTGTCGAAAGTCTTGCCTCCATCAGGAGTCGAACTCTCGGTCCTCCAGGTCAGAAGCACTGAAGTGACATCAGTCGATGCTCTGATCCTCGT